ATGTCAAGCTGGCCACACCCCTGGTCATGCCCACCCCCTCGAGGTCAAACACAACCCTGACGCTGCCCTCAATGAAATCAAGTTTGACCCTCCTGGTCTAGGAGATCTTTATATTTGTGGCATGTAAGTATAATAGATCTGGCTAGAAGTTCAGTACAGATTTCCTTACTTAATATAACATTTGTGCCTAATTTGATCATACAACCCTCTAACTCAGTATCCTACTTCAGGAATGACTACTTGGTTATCTGGAAAACTCCAAATAGTGGACAAAACTCCTCTTACATAGACTTTCCCAACAAAAGCATTGAGAAGCAAATTATGTTCTTTGAACACAGTGCCTCCACAAGTGAGTGGTAGGTCGGCCATCACTTGAGATCTTTCTAAGGATGCCACCTGCAACTAGCCCTTCTGGCTTTAAATGACGGTCTTTTTAACTCTGCATTATCAGTGTAACTTAGAAGAAACCTCTTAGGAGAGATCTTGCAATGCTTCCAAATTGCTCACAATGGATGGTTTCTGGGATTGAACAGTAAAGAAGTCTCTTCCCAGGATCTTTATTCTGAATAATTAAAACCAAAGTAGGTTAAAACAATGAGCTTAATTGTTAGATAAACTTGTATTTGTGAAAACTGGGAAATGCTGGGGAAACTGGAAGGAGTAGTGACATACAGCCAACGGTGGGACAATTTTTCTGCCCAAATAACTTTGGAGAAAGTTGGCAGTGGGACGCTTTGTCTAGGATGTAACTTCTTACATGATACTTTTATCTGCAAAATCAGTCAATTAACAGAGACTCTTCTTAATTCAGCCGTCTGCAAACTGGGTGGTGCCATTGACTGACAAGATTCGCTATGATGAAATATTTCTGAAGACAGATTTGGACCTGGATGGCTTTGTGAGCGGCCAGGAAGTGAAGGATATTTTCATGCACTCGGGGCTTTCCCAGAACCTCCTAGCACACATATGGTATGAATTTTCCTTCCCATCTCTCTTTTTTATTATACGACATTGTTTTCCAATCGAAAGTACTGTGTAAAATTGTCCTTTTTTTTGGTTTATGGAAAGTACAGGCATTGCCACAGATGCTGTCTTGAGATTGAATAAGCCAGGGGTGTCCAAACGTGGGAACTTTTAAGACTTGTGGACTTCAACTCCCAGAATTCCCCAGCCAGCTATGCTAGCTGGGGAATTCTGGGAGTTGAAGTCCACAAGTCTTAAAAGTTCCCAAGTTTGGACACCCCTGGAATAAGCTGTGGAATCAGCTGAAAGCTTCTGAGATACTCTGCATCTTTTGAATAGCAATTGTCTATTGAGCAGTCTATGGAAGGAGTCTGTTGTTGTTTTTTCCTGACAGGGCATTGGCGGATATACGGCAGATGGGAAAGCTCAACAAAGATCAGTTTGCACTCGCCATGTACCTCATTCAGCAGAAGGTCAGCAAAGGCATTGACCCACCACAGGTGCTGCTCCCAGATATGATCCCTCCTTCGGAGAGGACCACTCCTGTCCAGGTGAACTCATAGCATAGACATCTATTCTGACACTCTCCTAAGGACCTTGCTTGCCTTTTCCTCTGGCAACTGATACGCTGCCGGGGTGGGGGTGGGGAGTTCTTGAACCTATTTAAATGTTTTTTTTTCTTCCTGCTGCCAAAAACACGAGGTCATATTTGGAGCAAGAAAGATACCCCTGTTTGCTGCTGATGTTTTTGTTTTGAAACTATACACTGCTAAAGCTCTTGGGTCTGTTTGTTTGTAACGTTCAAATGGGGAGAATTGGGAAATGTAGGACGGCAATTATTGAACCAAAGTAACCCTATTGGCTTAATTTACATAATGCCCAGACTCCAGTCGGAGTAAAGTTTAGGAAAGTTGTGGCCACTTCAGGATCTCCACACCTTCCAACTACACTACCCAGAAAGCTGTAGGCTGTGTGGTGGAAGGGAAGATGAGAAGTGTGTCTCCCCACCCTCTTTCCTGCCTCCTTTTGGCCCCTGTGCCCAATCAGCTGGCAGCAAGCCTCAATGAGCGGGCAGCCATTGGCTGCTTTGGAGCCGAGGCCGATATTTGTAATGTTTTAATGGCTGGATCCGTTGAGGGAAGGATGAGTGACTTGGATTCAATTTTCCTCGTGGTCTATTTGTTTCCCAACCCCTCAGCAAAGTGGCAGGGAGTTCTCTAGGTCAGCTGAAGAGGAGGAGGCGGTGGCAGCTTCATCAGGCTCTTCTGAGGGGGAAAAAAATGGCACAAGCCTATATTATATGTAGAAAGAAGAATGAGTAATACATATAATGATGTTTGAAGGCCAGCACCAGATTTCAGCAGTTGAAAAGCTGGCTCTCGTAAACTGCTGTCTCTAAAATCATTGTGGCCCAGATGCAGTTAATTCACCCTCTTGCTTGTCCCTGCTCCTGTTCTCTTGTTTCCTCTTCTTCTCTCTGGTTCTGTGGAAGACTGTGCAAGTCCTCTTGTTTCACTGACTTTCCCCAGAATTGCCTGAGCTCCTGCCCCTCTGTCCTTTTTTCCTCTAGACTCTCTCAGGCTACTTGGCCTCAGTAGGAACTGAGATCTCGACACTCACAGAAATGCGTCGTGTGAGTAAACGGGGCACTCTGAAGAACTCAGCCCCTCCCCATCAAACCTCAGGTGGCATTTGCTTTGTCCATGCAAAACACCTTTTTTTCCCACCTAAGCAGCTTTTTGGAGCTTCCCCACATGATGCGGAGGGCAGGAGGGGTTTGGAGGTGGGGGGTGGCTGGCTGATAAGAAAGGATGAGTTCTGCTATTCCTGAGTCAGCTAAAAGCAGCTCAAAATGGATAAAAGTGGATCTTGATCAGACGTATTTTCTTTTGCCAGCATCCATTGTGTGAGGTGTTTTTTTTCCTCTTTTCAAATACTGTTTCATCCTTTTCTTGTCAGGCTTTTTTTTTGTTGTTGTTGTTGCTATTTCTGCTGCTTAAAATTTTGGTTTTCTGCAAGGTGATTCACCAGCTGGGTATTTGTGTGATTTAAGAATTGCTATGTCCNAAGCCGTGCACTCAAGCAAAATGCATGCACAAAAGGCCATGCGCATCTGCAGAAGGCATGCCCTCACATTTTTTAAATATTTTTTTAAATTGAATGAACATTAAAAACATTGGACATAGAGCAACCTTTCTGGCTTTGTCATTTCCATACATACTTTAACAGAACAAATACAACTTTTACTCATCGTACATAGCTACATTGATCTTATTAACATATCCCTTATCCTCCTTTATATATTTATCTATGTATTATCCAGTTCTGATTTTACAATCCTCAAAATATTCTGTTCCTTTTCATCATTTTCAACTATTGATACCTTTTGTTCCAAATTTCATAATATTTTGTCTTGTCCCTATTTTTGATTTCTAGTGTCAAAATGTCTTTATTACTGCTTCTTTGGTGGAGGCATCTCTGTTTTTCCAATTTTGCACATATACCAATCTTGCTCCGGTGATCACATGCAGCATTAAATAAGTCACTCCTTTACTATATTTTTCTCTTATTATTCCTAATAGGAATAGTTCTGGCTTTAAATCTATTTTTTGATCTAACATCTCTTCCAACCATGTCTTTATCTGATGCTAAAAATCCTTGGCTTTTGTACATTACTACCAATGTGCACTTACATTTTCAGTGTGCAGTGAACCGGTGGTAAAATTATGTGAAACCCACCAGAGGTGGGTTCCAGATCCCATCGCAACCGGTACGCTGTGACAGGGCTGGGAGACCACCATGTTCATGGATGCTGTGCATGCATGTGCACCACCACCCTGCAACGCTCCAGCTGCTCGGCGGAACATTGTGCAGGCACCGTACGCTGCATGCGCAAATGGTAGGGTCAAATACCAGTAAGGAGACTGAGCGGGTACCTGCTGCTCCCACCAGGCACAGGTACGTCCATACCAGGGTGTACCTGCCATAACCCACCACTGAAACCCACCTCTGCAGCCACACATGGAACTTCCGTAATCCTGATGAGGAAGATGTGGTTGTGTGCTAAGATACACTATATTGCCAAAAGTATTCGCTCACCCATCCAAATAATCAGGATCTGGTGTTCCAATCACTTCAAAATCAAGTCCCTAGGCATGCAGACTGTTTTGACAAACATTTGTGAAAGAATGGGTCGCTCTCAGGAGCTCAGGGAATTCCAGTGTGGAACTCTGATAGGATGCTACCTGTGCAACAAATCCAGTCGTGAAATTTTCTCACTCCTAAATATTCCACAGTCAACTGTCAGCTGTTTTATAAGAATGTGGAAGAGTTTGGGAACGACAGCGACTCAGCCACGAAGTGGTAGGCCACGTAAACTCCTCCAACATCAGTGTGTGACCTCACAAATG